CTTATTACCCTCTAGCAATGTCTGTAGATGGAGTCAATGCTTTGTTGTCACTTGGAATTATTACTGTAATAACTTTTTTCACACGTGCCGCCCCACATTCTAATAGCCAAAGGTGTGGCTCCAGCTCAGAATGATTAAGAACCCCACACTACTGCCACATGGGACTCACTGGGACCACCCCAAGGGCAAAACTGAACCAGTAGCGTTGGTCTCCAGGGTATAATTTCCCTCTTCCTGTGACAACCTTCTTGACTACTATTTCTGACTTCACCTCAACCCAGAAAACTTACTGCTCAGTGGTTCTTTCTCCCAGGCAGAGTGCTTCCGAGGTACAGTCCAGCTGACCTGACGAACAAATCCATACTAACAGCAGATGAAATTAGGCCCTCCCTGCTAGTCAACATTTGCCTTCATGGTGCTCTCAGAAGACCCCACCTTTCCAGTGCTTGTGAGGGTAGAAGACTGATGTGTGTGGAGACCTTGGTGGGCACATTCTGCACAGGTGCGGTCTCGGGTCCCTCTTGTTCTGTCCTAGCACACTGGCTCTTTCTTCTAAACAAATGGGGTTCGTTGCTGTTACTTGGCAGATGGGCTAGCTGATGGACAGAATTTTCTGGGTGAGACATGAAGGTCCACGGCAGTGTTCCCTAATGGTGTCCTTTAGGGTAGTACTAAGGAAGGTTGGGGACTGTCTGGTGTAGGCCATGATTCATGCTGTAACCCCCTTTCCACACAAGAGCCCGATGTTCACACTAGCTGACCAGGTGGCTTTCCTTCTCCCGAATCTCCCTTCAATCAGGAGGTTGGGAGATGTATTGTTCTCCAGTGTTGGTTGGAAAGTTCAAGCTATTTTTTTATGTATCCACTCTGCTCTTTGTTTGTTTTCTCCTCTTTGTCTTCTTTCGGGTTTGTTGATTATTTACTTCTGATTCTATTTTATTTCTTCTATTTGTTTATTAGCTATATCTCTTAAAAATTTTTTGGGTGGACGCTCCCTGGTTTACAACATACATCTTTAACTCATCACAGTCTCCCCTCAAATAATCTTACATCATTCACATATAGTAAAAAAAGCTTGCAAGAGTATACTTCCATTTCCTCCCTCTTATTTTTTTGTGCTATTGTTGCTGTATGTTTTACTTAGACACATGTTATAAATCTCAACATACTTTGTCATTAGTCTTGCATAAATCAATGACCTTTTAAAGAGATTTGAAAGCAAGAAAATTTTCTTTCGCATTTACCCTCCCATGTAATCATCTCTGATCCTCTCTATCCCTACCCAACTTTCCATCACTGTCTCCCTGAAGAACCTCCTTTAACACCTCTAACGCAGGTCCACTGGCAACAGATTCTTTTGCCTTTGTCTGAGAAAGTATTCATGTTGCTGTTGTTTCAGAGAGATATTTTCATAAGGCAGAGACAGAATTCTAGCCTGACAGTTTTATTTTCAGTGTAGTAATGATGTTGCTCCACTCTCTTATTCGCAAAGTTTCTGACCATAAGGATGCTGTCTGTCATGTTGTCCTTGCTCCTCTGTACATTGTCTTTTGCTCTGACCACTTTTAAGATTTTAATTTTTATCACTAATTTTCACCAATTTGAATAGGTTATGCCTTGACATGGTTTTATTTATGTTTACTCTTCTTGAAGTTTATTGAGCTTCTTGTATTTGTGAATTTACAGTTTTTATCGAACTGGGAAAAATTTCAGCCATTATTTTTTCAACAATTTTCCTATCTCCCTTCCTCTGCTGGAACTCAAATTACAGGCATGTTAAAACATTTAATATTGTCTCACAAGTAATTGAAACTCTTTTTTGTAAGTCTTTTTTCTTTGGACATTTTCTATTACTATGTCTTCAATTCATCAATCTTTTCTTTTGTGTTATGCTCTTAATCCCATGCAGTATATGTGTGTATATATATACTTTACCTCAAATACTGTATTTTTCACCTCTACTTCTTTTTTTATTGATTATGCCATTACATTTGTTCTATTCCCCCCTCCGTTCCCCTCCACCCTGTACACCCCTCCCCCCTTTAGTTCATGAACATGTGTCTCAAGTTCTTTAGATTCTGTATTTCCCCTACTATTCTTACCCTCCCCCTATCTATTTTCTATCTACTGTCTATGCTACTTATTTTCTGTACATTCTTCCCCCTTCTCCTCCCACTCCCCTGTTGCTAACCCTCCATGTGATCTTCATTTCTATGGTTCACTCCTAATCTAGCTGTCCTCTTAATTTGCTTTTGTTTTAGGTGTGGTTGTTAATAAATGTGACTTTACTGTCCTTTCACTGTTCATCTTTTCTTATCTTCTTTTTCTTAGGTAAGTCCCTTTAACATTTCATATAATAAGAGCTTGGTGATGATGAACATCTTGAATTTGGTCTTATCTGAGAAGCACTTTATCTGCCCTTCCATTCTAAATGAAAGCTTTGCTGGATAGAGCAATCTTGGTTGTAGGTCTTTGGATTTCATGACTTGGAATACCTCTTTCCAGCCCCTTCTTCCCTGTAAGGTCTCTTTTGAGAAATCAGCTGACAGTCTGATGGAAACTCCTTTGTAGGTGACAGTCCCCTTATGTCTTGCTGCTTCTAGGATTCTCTCCTTCATTTTAATCTTGGCTAATGTAATGATGATGTGCCTTGGTGTGTTCCTTCTTGGGTCCAACTTCTTTGGGACTCTGAGCTTCCTGGATTTCCTGGAAGTCTATTTCCTCTGCCAGAACGGGGAAGTTCTCTTTTATTATTTGTTCAAATAAGGTTTCCACTCATGACTGTTCCTCTTCCCCTTCTGGTACCCCTATAATTCAAATGTTGGAACATTTAAAGATGTCCTGGAGGTTCCTAAGCCTCTCCTCATTTTTTTTAATTCTTGGTTCTTCATTCTTTTCTGTTTGGTCATTTTTTCCTTCCTTCTGGTCTATTCCCTTGATTTGAGTCCCAGTTTCCTTTCCATTACTATTGGTTTCCTGTGCATGTCCTTTCATTTCAATTAGTTTAGCCTTCATATGTTCCTCTAATTTGTGACTAAAATCAACCAGTTTTGTGAGCATCCTGATCACGTGTTTTGAACTGTGCATCTGAAAGTATGGCTATTTCTTCATCACTTAGATTTATCGGCTCTGGGGCTCTGAGTTGTTCTTGAGCCATGTTTTGATCTGTTTGTGCCTGTTACCTATGAGGAGCGGAGCCTTAGTTGTTTACCAGGGCAGGGCCACCCAGGTCGCTGGTTTGTGATGCCGTATGTGGGGGCAGGGTCAGAGAGGGAGCAATGGCGGTCCTCTCTGCTCACCCAATCCATCCCACCGCTCGCCCCCGCCTGTTTATCCCGAGCGGAAATGTGCGAGCCCTCCGCCCTGCACCGTATGGTCTCAATGCTCGCCTCTTCACTGGTTTATCTGCACGCAAATGCTCGACCGACCACAGACAGCCAGCTGCGCCTCTTCCCTGTGTCTGCCTGTAGCTAGCCCACACCTGGGATCCGCGCCCTTGACTGCCTGGGAACCACCCCTGGTCGGGGATCTTTTTGGCCAACCCGCTTCCCTGCTGGCTTCACCCCTCTTACGGGTTTAGCTGAGCATTTCGTTGTTTTCGGACTCTGTATTGTCAATTTTCTATGTGGTTTGGTTGCATTTATTATTGTTAAAACTTTGTTGTTTTTAGATTTGGTTGTGCAAGGATGCAAGGTATTTCCACCTACGCCTCCATCTTGGAGGAAGTCTCACCTCTACTTCTATTGAATCTTTTTTGCTATCTTCCATTGCTCCCTGCATTGTTTTTTATGTTTTCCTCTATATTCTTCAGCATGTGGAACATACTTAAAAGAGTTGTCTTAATGTTCTTGTCTACTAAAGCCATCCTCTCTGTTATTTCTGGGTCTGTTTCTACGGACTGATTTTTCTCCTAGTTATTAATAGTATTTTCCCATTTTCAGGCACACTTGGCAAGTTTTGCTCGGTTGCAGGATATTGTTAATTTTACATTATTGTGTACTAGATTTTTAAAAATTTATTTATTTATCTTTAGAGGGGAAGGGAAGGAGAAAGGGAGAGAAACATCAATGTATGGTTGCCCTTTGCGCATCCCCTGCTGGGAACTGGCCTGCAGGGAACTGGCCTGCAACCCAGGCATGTGCCCTGACTGGGAATCGAACCGCGATTGTCTGGTTCGCAGGCCCGAGCTCAATCCACTGAGTTATACCAGCCAGGGCCCTAGATTTTGTCGTAATCCTTTTGATGCTGTAGTCGTTCTGGCCTGCAGCTAAGTTACTCAGAGTCCTTTTGATTTCCGAAAGGCTTACTTTAAGCTTTATTGGGGGAGGCCTAAGCAACAGTGACTCTAGGGCTAGTTTAGCCCCATTACTACAACAGTGCCCATCTGAGGAGTCTGCCTGATGCTCAGTGTACTATGAGATTTTTTCACTCTTGCTAATGGCAGCAGAATTCTGTGAGCTCCAGGAATTCGGGCAAGTCTTGCTTTATGTTATTCTCTATCCTTCCTCCCCAGCTTCATGTGGTTGCTTCCCCCCACATGCACAGATCAGCACTCCACTAAAGATGCTGTCTGTAGATCTTTAGAGTGTTCTCTCTGCACAGGTCCTTTGTCTCTGATAAGCCACCTCTCTAACTAGCCATTCTGGCTTCTGTGAAATTCAATCTCTCGATTCAGCAAGAGCACCAGGCTCTGTTTGGGTTCCCCTCCCTACACCGCAGTCTGGACACTGTCTGCAGCTAGTGAGCTGAAGCAATCCCAGGACCGACTTGTATTTTTCCCCTTCTCTCAGGGACCACAGTCCTGTCTATGCTACTAACCAAGGTCTGAAACCACTGTGTTCTACTTTGTCCAGATGCTTAGTTCTCTAAGGTAAGAGAGTAAATTCCTGGAGTCTCTGTTACTTCATCATGGCCAGAGCAGAAGTTATCTTTGTGCAGATTTAATTATATAACATGACATTTTACATAATGTTTTCACTTAAGAGTAGATTTTGGTGATCTTCCCATGTTATTGCATAATTTTGCTAAACATTTGTTAAAACTGTTTATACTTTTTCATTTGTCGTAATAGCCATCGACTGAGTAAACCCTACGCACCGGTCTCTGGATGAGGCAGTGAATAAAACCAAGGTAAGATGTCGTAGGGTCTTTTACTCCTAGTGGACAGAAGACAGGTAAAAGATAAGAAATAAATGAGCAAACCATAGAGCAACAGAGCTCTAAAACAGGGTGATATGTCTGGACAGTGATACAGGCACCTATTGGGGACAGGGGCTTAGGGAAGTCCTCTCTGAAGGGATAGGAGGGGACTAAGTCCTGAGTGATTACATGAACAGCCGTGGGCCAAGTGTTCCAGCAGAGAGAATGTAAGTGCAAGAGCCAGAGGAAAGTACCCAGCCTGGGGTGTGGGAGGGACAGAGGAGACCAGCTGGGTTGGAGTAGAATGAGCAAGGGGGCAGAGTGGCACCAGTTAAAGTCAGAGTAGTCCGGGCCAAGGCTTGTGGGGCAAAGAACGACGTGCAAGTGTGCAATCTATTTACTTATTTACTTAATTTATCTCATTACATAATCGACTAATTCCTATTCTGGAAGACTTTATGCTTTTGCATTTTAAAATGCTTTATAGTAAATGACACAAATAAACATCATTGTGTGTGTGTTCTCTATACTTAGAATGATTTCAATATGGCAGAATTCCAGGACTGAAATGAAAGAGTCCTAGGGTATCTAGCAGGGGCTGTTGGTGGACCTGGGACTTACGTTACAATCAGGAATGTCCCTCTTCCAGCTGGTGTAGGTGCTCGGACCACTGGAGCCACCTCCTCACACAGCTGGGACTGATGCCCCTCCACAGCCTACAGCAGTGACTGACTGCAGGGATACCGGAGCACCCGTCCCTTTGCCTCAATGCAGGGTGAGCTCTGTGTCGCTGTTTTAGTCCAGACCTCCCAGAAGCCCCAGGTGGAGGCCACATTTCTCCTGAAGCCACATACCTGCTTAACTTCTTCCCCTTCTCTATCCTTCCCTTTCAGGATTCTTCTAGAACAGACCCCTCCCCCCACCAAAGTCACCTGTACCATAATCCTCACCTAAAACAGGATATAACCTTTTGAAGAATCCTGAGTTTCTAAATCCTACCAAGGATTCTGTTTTTAGAAACGCTATGTCCCCTGAAGACAATTTGAAACTTACCCAGTCACCATGAAGGGTAGGAAGCACTTGGAGGTGGCAGGCTTAACTAAAGGTCCTGAGGTAAAGGACTGATGGTAGCTGGTGCTCCGAGGAGAGTGAGGATTGAGATCCCATTGAGGAACCGAAGTCTGTGAGGACTTGGGAAGAGCCAGACTTAACCTCGAATGGGAGCAGCCCATCAGAGACGGCCCAGGCAAACTCGTGGCTCGAGTTCTCATGTTCTCAGCAGCAAGGGGAGCCTGCAGGTTGCCACATGGGTCCCAGGGCACATATCCCCTTCTCTAAACGAGTGCACTGTCTGGTCCCAGAGACCCCATGGCTTTAAGATAAGACAGCACAGGAGCAGAAACCCTAAATCCAGGGGTGGGAGCAACAGTCAAAACAAAAAGGGACAAACTGAGGCAGAATGACACAGATCAGGGGTGGAGGACTTAGGGCATCCCGACACTTCAATGGTGTGGTTCTTTTTTCTTTCTCCTGTGCGGGAAGGTCGTCAAATTGTTACTGAACAGGGGCCTGGCCCTGAGCGGGTCTGCCTAGGGCCAGGTGTAGTGTGTGGGTTCTTGACTTTGTGTAGGAAAGATTTCACAACATGAATGCAAGTGACTGTGAGGATGCATTTATTAAAGTGGGGGACAAGGAAACAGGGAAAGGTTTAGCATAGAAGCAACAGGAGAGCCTAGGCGGGGCTGCCTTAGCTCACTGGGAAGTCAGAGAAAAGCGGGGCCTTGGGGACAGGTTCAGGGGATTGGCCTGGGATAAGCTGTCGCTGCCCTTTTCTCCGCAGCACCCTTAGGGGTTAGGAGATGCATGCCTGTGGGGGAAGAAGAGAGAGAAGAAAAGGCAAAAGGGAATGGAGCAGGCTGTTCCCCAGAGGGAGAGCACATGTTGGGTCCTTTGTCTTGAGTTTTTCTCTCTCTGGCAGCCAGGAATCTTAGGGGAATGTCTCAGGGGAGGGTTTCAGTAGAATAGTCATCAGTTTTCCAGGTGTGCTCTTTCAGGGTCTTGGTCTCCACTGATTGGTCAGTGCCAGGTCAGAAGGTCCTTAGTCATTGCCATTGGTTCTGGCATTGCCTACCTGGTTTTGCTGCTTTTCTGGGCCTGGAACTGAAATACAACTGAGGCCTAGATGTTATCTCCAGGGAGGCGACCTTCTGTGTCTGGCTGCACATTGTTTGGCCAGTTTGTTCAGCTGTCTGTCTCAGCGTCCCCATTCCATTTGCTAAGGAATTTTCCTAGCTTCTTACTATTTTGCCTCAAAATGGGAAAGCTCAGCAGTGGTTATCACACACACACGCACACGCACACACCCCGCTCCTCTACCCTACTCCCCTATCTCCCTACCACCTCCTCATCCTTTGAAGAAAGGATCTTAGATAAGGCAGCCGGGGCAGTGTTTGGAAGTATCCTCTTATTCAGAATCTGGGCAGGTTCCAACCTGGCTTCCGAAGTAGATGGTAATACTACTGCCAAGCATTTCTAAAGAGATTGAGATGTACGTGCAGGAAGGCAGTTGGTCTTTCTGGATTCTTGTGTTATCACTACCTATGTCAGAATGAGAATAGCAATGATTAAATACATACCTGAAGATGCCTCTTAAGTGCTAAACACACAGTCCTTTAATCTCTAAGGTGGCATGTCCCTTGAGTTGCATTTCCAGGACTGTGGATGAGTCTCACTGAGCCACGACTTTACAGTTCCCAAAATACTTTAATAAATATTAGTATTTACCTACTACTCACCTATAAGGTCAGTCATCTTATTATTGTTTTAATTTTTTCACATGAATACATTGAGGGTCAGAGCAATTAAATAACTTGCAACAAGAGGCAAACCTTTTCTTCCGAGGCTAAACCCTGTACAGTCTCAGTTCATCTGTCTGCCTTGTCCCCTTCTCTGCTCACTGGAGTCTTTCTGTGTCCTGATATTCAGGGCTAAGAGTTCTAAGATCCTGGAAAGGGCTATAGGAAGTTGGTCATCTTTAGCCTTCTGAAAGCCTTCTCATTCTCTCTCTCTCTCACCTTCCCATACTTCCTGGAAGAGAAGAATTATATCCCACCTTCTTTATTTTACTCCGTAGCTCCTAACTTCTTGGACATCAGAAGCATTTCTTTTTCTGTGTGATTTATTTCTCTTGCTCCCAAGATGGCAGGCCTCTCCATACCAATGGGAAGATGGCCAGATGTGTGAGCCTACCCCTGGGAGCAAGGCACTGAGCCCGTGGAATCCCCAGGGCACATAGGAGGTGAGTGGGACATCTCTGCTCACTGGGAAGGTTGAGCATATTGTTTTATAAGCTGCCCCACTGGTGCCCCGTATGTCCCCCACCTCCAGAGCTACCTATCTAACTAATCTGCGATGATGGAATGCCATTTCTTTCTTTCATTATCCTAAATTAAATATCACTAGGAATGTCAAGGCCCTTCGTAAAACAAAGCACCTAACACATTCCAGAGACAAATTTCAATTATTTTAAGATAATCTGCTCTGTGGACTGTCCGAACAATCATTGTTCTCTCTAGTAGAACTAGCTAAGAGCCGACAGAAAAAAAAAATTCCCCTGAAGCCCAAAGCCAACTCGCAGACCAGGTGCAAACCCTGCTGTGGAGAGGAGGCTGTAGCGAGAGTGTTTGGGAGAGTTTGTCATCCTGAGGTCACGGTGGGAGTAATTGCAGCATTCATGAGCTCTGACTCAGCTGGGATTGGATGGTTTCCCCAGGCAGAGTCCCCAAACAGGCCCGGGAAGCTTGTTAATCCTCGTCAGGGTGTGATTACTATTACTAGCCCAAACCCACACTGAGCACAAATACTCTGCTGAGGTTCCCAGGCTAGGACATGTGGGGACAAGACTTGTCCAGAAGATATGGAAGAGCCTCTAGATGGAAGGCCCGCCTCCCCTGCTCACAGGAGTGGAGGTAGCTTAGTCCAAGGAGAGGAGAGTGGGGACCATGACGGGGACACCGAGGAGGACTTGCCCCTTCCCAGACAAGTCATGCATACCATTCCCTTTTAAAAAATTATTTATTTATTTTTAGAGAGAGGGGATGGGAAGAAGAAAGACAGAGACAAACATTGATGTAAGAGAGAAACGTCTATTGGTTGCCTCTGATATGGACCTAAACGGGGGGACTAAACCCAGAATCCAGGCATGTACTCTGACCGAGAATCAAACCTCTGACCTTTTGCTTTGTGGGATGATGTCCAACCCACCGAGCCACCCCAGTCAGGCCATGCCTACCATTCCTTAGCACCACAGAAGTGGACTAAACAGCTGCGCCTGTGTTTGCCCATCTGTTGGCTAACCTAAGGGGTCCCTTGAGGGTTAGAGCTAGAAGATTCTGCTTCTATGGTCAGCAACATGGAGCACTGGCAGTGAAGAGCCCTGCCTCTGTTTTGGAAGCTACCAGGCAGAGATGCAAAGAAAAGAAGAGGCAGTTCCTCCAGGAGCTGCTGCAGTAACAAGGGACAGCTCTGGGTCAAAGACCCAGGAGATACATATTTAGGAACAGGCTGTGGGGGTGCTCTGTGGACTACATTCCTCCCATTCCTACCATTCTGTGATTCTAGGGTATAGGAGGAGACCAGATAAATGCATCAAGAAGATACAAATAGTAAGCAACAGGAAATGTAGTGATGGAATCAAATCTTAACTCTCTGCCTCGAGCGTGATCTTTACAGGTTGTGGTCCCTAGCCAGGCCCCAGACCGAGGACAGCAGGGCTGAAGACTGGGCACAGCAGGCATAGGGTGTGGGTGTGAGAAGACAGGTGATCCTAGCCTGCTGTGGTCCTAGCCAAGATCTCAGAGAGCTGGTTGTAGAACAGATTGGAAGGGAGAAGACTCTAAAAAGATATCCCCTTTTGAGTGAAATCTTACCATTTGCAAGAGCATGGATGAACCTAGAGGATATTTGGCTTAGTGAAATAAGTCAGTCAGAGAAAGACAAGTACCATATGATTTCACTTATATGCGGAAGATAAAGAACAAAATAAACAAGCAAACAAAATTGAAAGAGATTCATAGACACAAAGAACAAATGGGGGCTGCCAGAGGTGAAGGAGATTGGGAGACTGGAAGAAAGAGGTGAAGGGACTAAGAACATATTGGTAGTTACAAAACAGTCACTGGGATGTGAAGTACAGCATAGGGAATATAGTCAGCAATACTGTGATAACTATGTGTGGTGCCAGGTGGGTACTGGTAATATGGAGGGGGGGGACACTTTTTAAAATATCTGATTGTCTAACGACTATGCACCTGAAACCAATACAAAATAATATTGAATGTAAACTGCAATGGAAAAATTTAAATTAAAAAAAAATTTTAATCCTGAGGCTGAAAATCTCTTCCCTCCTAGGGAGAGAACCCTGCTATTGTTTCAGGGCAGAAGTGAACTTCCTGAAGGCTGAGAAGATGATTCAAATGTTCCTTCTGGAAAGGTGGCTGGTGGTGAGAGAGAGGCAGGTACAGGGAACTCAGGACTGATTTGGGATTCACTGTCTTGTCCACAGTGACTTAGGCAGCCCAGGACCCTGCCTTTTGTGGGCCAGGATCCCGAGAAAGTGTCCTCCGTGCAAACACTCAGGCAGTTGCTGCGTGGATGGTCTGAGATGCTTCTTGTGATTGCTCTATAAATGTCCCAGGGGGCAATCATTTGGAAGTTAAGCTAGGGAAGGGGAGAGGTGTGATGCTCTAAAGCTAAGCAGATTCAGGCAGGGCCAGGAAAGTTTTCTAGAAAAGTGGATTCCCAATCTGTCTGACCAAGGAAGAGGAGCTCTCTCTGCCTCGCACGTGATCTGCAAATGCATCTCTGTGTACGCTCCCCTCGTCTGCAGCAGCGGTGGGACAGCTTTCAAACAGGTTGGTTGAATCACCTTGCTGGATCCGAGCGAGCTGCAGGGCTTTGCTGAGCTCTACTGCCCAAAGGGGCTGGGTAGTACATTGAAAAGCATTTGTGTTCTGTTGCCCAAAAGAGCTGGATTCAAGTCCTGCCTGAGTGGCTTGTTAGTCGTGTCTCCTTGAGTAAGTTGCTTGACCTCTCTGATTCCTCAAACTCCTTCATTACAAAATGGGGGCAATCACTCCATAGGGTTGGACTGCGAATTAAACATGACAATGTATAGCACCAGGCTGAAAGCAGCTCCAATTATTTCATTTATGTGCGTGTCGGAAACAGAGTGGGAGGGCAGGACCTGAGATGGGGATGGATTGAGGAGTCGGACTAACAGGCATGTACAGTTTGGGGCCTCAACTTCTAATTTTCTCTAACAAGGTGCTACCTGGAGATGAGCTAGTCTAAACCCAGGCTGCCTCTCCAGGATAGTAGCCTCTGACTCCAGACTCTTCCAGAGAACCTGTGACGGGCTCAGGACATGACACCCACGCCTCGGCACTGCCTTTGGTAAACAGGCAGCCTGGGGAACGCCCACTTCAGCCCAGGCTCTACGACTGTGCCTGGACACACAACACCAACACGGCAGGATGACCCGGAGGTGGGGCCTCGGCCCGGCAGCCTGTCTCACTGGCATTGGTGATGTGGGCTGAGAAATGAAAAATAATATCCAAAGGGGAAATATTTAAGATCATGTGAACAAACTCTCAGTAGATGGAATTTCATTTTTCTTTTTCAATTTTTGGTATTATTTATGTGTTCTTATATGAGAATGTGTGTGTCAGGACATAAATGTATCAAACAAGAAAGAGAAATCGTAAGCCATGGATTCCAGTGCACTCTCTCTCTCTAGGAAGGGAGAACATCAATGCGAGAGAGAAGCTTTGATTGGTTGTCTCCTGTACGTGCTCAAACCAATGATCAGATATGCCCAAACTGGGCATCGACCCTGCACCACAGGCACGTGCCCTGACTAGAATGGAACCCTCAACCTTCAGTTACCGGATGATGCTCCAAACAACTGAGCCACGCTGGTCAGGGCCAGCTCAAGCTCTTACTAACTGAAAGAGACCTTGGGCAAATCCTTTAATCTTGTTGAGCCTCAATGATAGCATCTATAAAATGGAAGACTAATGCCTATCTCAAAGGGTTGTAATTAGGATCAAATAAAATAATAAATGGAAAAGCCCTTAGTGAACTGGGGGCAAAAGTGATACACCGAACATGTCAAGTGTTGACGGTCATTCCACCTGAAGCACCGATAATTATTGGGCTGACTTCCTAGGCTCTCTAATGTACTTGACATCTGCTCCTGCCTCTTCTCTGCTCATTCAACCCCTACCTCAGACTCCCTGCTCCATCAGGTCAAAAGAATTGAGACAATGTCCACTCCATTGTGCCTGATACAGGCCGGTTGTTCCTCAATGGTCATTAAGGGCTCTTAGGGACAGAAGTGATGATTAAAATTTGCTGGTGTGAGTGCGAGGAGTCTTTTTCTGCTTGCTTTGCAACCCCTCTCAAGACTCGTGTTGCTCCCGTCTTTCCCTGAACAAGAGCAACAAAGGAAGAGAAAAGATTCCTGGGACAGCACAAGGAATACAATGCTAACTGCCGTGGCCTCCAAGTTGCCCCACCCACAAAATTTCCATAAAATACTTGACTACTGCAAGAAAGAAATGATAGCCCCTCAAGGTTTTCTGTTGGCTTCTTCCTGAGGCACTTCCCTCTCAGACACTGCAAAGGTTGTCGAGAACCAGCTACACAGCACGAGAACCAGAGTCAGGGCACTTTCCTGCCTGGCCATCTGACTGTAAGTTCACGGTCATGTGCTCATCTTGCTTTGAGCATAAACTACCTTGTCCTATCAATTTTGTTTTATTAAAAAAATTAAAACCACTTTCCACCTATAAAGTAATACATACTTATGATAGGAAAATTGGAAAACAGTGGAAACGATAAAGGAAGAGGAAAGAACTATCCAACATTTCACGGCTAACACCTCGGGTATATTCCCTGTCAGTGTCCTCTCTCAGCCACGAAGAGCAAGTGACGTGTATACAGTTTTGTGCATCTTTTCACTCACTATGATGACATGAAGATTTCCCACAATGCTAAAATTCTCAGAAAAAAACATGGACTTTCATTGCTGCATAATGTCCATTACACAGATGAATCATAAGTAATTTAACTGATTCCCTATTGTTCAACATTTAGGCTGTTTTTATTTTTTCCCTTAAAAATAACAATGCTATTAATATCCTTGTAAATAAGAGTCCACATCTTTGATTATTTCCTCAACATAAATGACTAGAAATAGAACTACTGGGTCAAAAGACGAGGAACATTTCTGAAATTCTTGATATGTGGTGCTTAATTGCCCTCAAGAAAATGTGTGCCAATTAACTTTCCATTGATGGTGTATAACAGGACTTGCTTCACCACACCCTCACCGGAGCTGTATATCATCGCTACTTTAATCTTTGCTATTTTAATAAGTAAAAGTAGATTTGCTTAATTTTTATGTGGCTATTTCAAACTGTCAATCCAGCCATCATACTCATTTGTTTGTTTGCTACTTGTTTATTATTTATGCCCTGTCTACTTCCAGAAAGTGGTTCCAACTGGATGATAAGCCCTTCAAGACAGTAACTGTCCCTCTTTGTTGCTTCTGTGACTGGACAGTGGGCTTCACGTATCTGAAACTTGATGCATGTTTGGAAGTTATTTTTGAACCGTATAGAGCTGTTCACTAACAGAATAGGGTATTCTCTCTTTTGTGGATGTATCTGGCTTTATTATGTCCCTGTTCTCCCAACTCTTGTTGCTCTTGCATTTAATCTTAAATGTATATAATTATTTAGTAGTTTTGGGAGCGAAAAAAACAAATGAAACCAACAAACAAAACCTCTGTCTCTTCAACTGGACTATCAGTCACTTAAGGACAGGGGATATGCCCTTTATTCTCTTAGAAGAAATGAGTACAGCATTGAGCACATGCTGACTTTTAATTTTTCATTCATTAATTTACTCGTTAAAAAACATTACTGAGCACCCATCATATGTCAGACACTGCAGTCAATGCTGAAGAAACTGGCTCGCAGTCTGATAGAAGGAGTGAGGTATGGGGGCATGCAGAATACCATGAAAATATTAAGGAAGGACCGCAAGCCCTCCAGACTGGAGAAATCAAGGAGGACTTCTTGAAGGAGGTAGTGGCTGAAAAGAGCTGATAAAAATGTGGCTGAGAGGTTGAATGTTTTAGGAAGAGAGAGCCGCATCTATAAAGTTTTAGTAAACAAAGAAAATACGGTGCTTGGAGGAATTTACCACTGGTTTAACATACCTGGAACTAAGAGAGAAAATGCAGATGATGAGTCCAAAAAGGTAGTCAAAGCTCATCAGCTATACAGCAGGGATAAAAGTGACCACTTGCATCAGTCAGGGTGGGTAGAGACAATCCCACTAGCATCAACACCCAGGTCTCACAAGGTCTGCACTTCACCAGCTTAACTAACAGAAGTCAAGATCCTTGCAGGAAATCAAAATTATTTTTAGGGCCTTTTCCGCGAAGAATTTAGGGGACTCTGGGGAGTACTTCCACATTTCACTGAGTCAGTCTGTGTTATCACTTGCCACCACGTTTAGCCAGTTGTAATTCTGTAGCCCTACACCTTAATACTTTAACAAGGATGATAACACAAGGCTGGGACACTTCTCCTACCATTGGCCCAAATACCTAGCAGTTTACTGAGCTTCATATGTTGAAACTGGAGCAACACTGTCACATCTGAAAACCAAAGATTATTGCCCCTGTTCTAGTAAAGTGTGAAGGAAAACACTCTTGCTGGGCACAGTTCAAATAAGGTTCCACAGCAAGGCTGCTTGACTCCACAGCAACGGCTCTTTCCACTTCCACACAAGCTCCCTTTCTTCCAGAAGCCACGCCTGCTGCCAAAGTGACTAGGTGACACAAATCTCAGGGTTTGCTTCCACAGTGAACTCAGAGCACCATTCCCCTTGAGCACATTGGCCCAAATGTTGGATTTGAGTCAATGGCCAGATGCCCTCTTCTCTATGATGACTTAACTTTAAGGGCCCTTGCTACTGAATATCATGCCTCCCTCAGAGCCACCCTAGTCTGTCAGACGACTGAAATTCAACCTGGAACAAGGTTCAGACTGTCTCTCACAGGCCGCACTGTTCAACTTCTATGTAAATCAAGGGATGTAAATGGTTACATGGAGAGAAGGGAGTGGCCTAACTGTTCTTACCAAAGGCATCTGAACACCATCTCCTGCTCAGACAACACACCTGGCTTTGTTAAAATACTTGGATTTTATTCTGCAGGCAAAGAGGATCAAATATAGTCTTTATGGAGTATATTAGTATACTAATAGCACTATGTCAATTAATGATTAATATTCATAATATACAAAAAGCTCTCAGAAACTGATTAGAAACCATAAATATAGTAGAAATGGGTAAATGACATAATTATGCAATTCATAACAGAGAAAATCAAAATGTCCAACAAATATGTTTAAAAGATGCTAATGAAAAAAATAATACAACATGGCTTCTGGTCAAGATAGTGATGTAGACAGACATGGCTCTCCTTTTCACACAACGACATCGAAATTACAACTAAAATATAGAACAACCATCACTCAGGAACGTTAGAAATCAAACTGAGTGGAAGTCTGACAGCTACGGAATTAAAGAAACTATATCCATCTAGATTGGTAGGAGGGACAAGGACATGGAAAGGGCTGGCCTATCCACACCAACGTGGACAAAAATTCGGGAGGGATATCTCAGAGTGAGGATTCCCAGACCCACAGGAGGCCCCCCAGCCCAGGATTCCAGTGCCAGGAAGATAAATCCCCACACTTCTGGCTGTGAAAACTAATGGGGATTGCGTTGGTGGAGGAGGCTGCTGGAGCTCTAAGCAGTTCCTCTTGGGGAACCCACACATGGACTCACCTACTCACTCACTCCCTGAGCTCCAGCACAGGGGTGGAAGTTTGAAGAAAAAGTGGCATACAGGGAGAGACTGAAGTGTGTGGTATCATGGCAAGCAGAGGCCATGGTCCCTCTGTTGAGTACTCTCCCCCAAAGAGCTGGTAGGCTGGTGCCATATCTGAGACTTCATTAATCTGGATAACACTGTGTGACCCACCTTGGAGATCCACAGAAGCTCTACCCCACCCAACTTACAGGCCCACTAAAGCCACTTTCCATAAGAATCTCCAGTCTTGGCTTCTAAATCCTATCAAACAAGCAACAACTGGCTTCGCTGAGCCCCAGCAGCAGCCAGATTTACGTCACAGCTTGGCTTCACCTGGAAATCTCCAAGTCCAGCACAAGAAACAGCCATCTCAGGTTGCTTTATAACTCAGGCAGGATGCCTCAGGCAAAACACAGGTGGGGGCTGACCTTGGCCTGCACCACCCAGGAAACTCAAGGGCCAACACACCCAGTGGGCAGCTACAGACCATGTTGGAGCACCACCACACTGCCCCTGCCTAGCTGATCCTCCACAGAGGGCAGAGGTTGGTGGTCAGTGGTCACAGCCAATCCACAGCTGACTTACCTGGGTAAATCCCTCCCATTGATCTGCCAACAGCAACCAAAGGCTCAACTACAAAAGAAAGGTGCACTCAGCCCACACAAAGGGCACACTTGAGTACCCAGCTTGGGCGATAGGGAATGCTGTGCCACTGGACTCTATAGGATACCTACTACATTAGGTCACAGTACCAAGACAATGGAGTTAAAGCAGCTCTACCTAATACATAGAAACAAACACAGGGAGGCTGCCAAAATGAGGAGACAAAGAAACGTAGCCCAAATGAAAGAAGAGTTCAAAACTCCAGAAAAAGAGCTAAATTAAATGGAGATAAGCAACGTTTCCGATGTGGAGTTCAAAACACAGTTTATAAAAATGCTCAAGGAACTTAGTGAGGACCTCAGCAGCATAAGAAAGACCCAGTCAGAAACAAAGGATTCACTGATTGAAATAAAGTACAGTTTACAAAGAAACAACAGTGGAGTGGATGAAGCCAAGAATCAAATCAATGATCTGGAACATAAGAAACCAAAGAACAACTACACAGAACAACAAGAAGAAAAAAGAATTTCAAAAATGAAGATGGTATAAACAGGCTCTGGGACATTTTAAGAGGTCCAACATTTACCTCATAAGGGTGTCAGAAGGAAAAGAAAAAGGACAAGAAATTGGAAATGTATCTGAAAAAACAGTGAAAGAAAACTTCCCTAATTTGGTGAAGGAAATAGACATGCATCCAGGAAGCCCAGAGATTCCAAAACAAAATGGATACAAAGAGGCCCATCCAAGACACATCATTATCAAAAGGCCAAAGGTTAAAGATAAAGAGAATCTTGTCTGGTGTGGCTCAGTGGATTGAATGCTGGCCTGCAAACCAAAGTGTCACCGGTTGGATTCCCACTCAGGGCACATACCTGGGTTGTGGTCCAGATCCCCAGTAAGGCACATGAGAGGCAACCACACATTGATGTTTCTCTCCCTTTCTCCCTCTCTTCCCCTCTCTGTATAAATAAATAAAATCTTATTTTTAAAAAAAGATAGACTCTTAAAAGCAAGAGAAAAGAAGTTAGTTACCAGAAGGTTGCCTGATGGTAGGGGGGAATGGGTAGTGAGGGGTTTAAGAAGTACAAATAGGTAGTTACAGAACAGCCATGGGGATGTAAAGTACAGTATGGGAAATGGAGCAGCCAAAGAACTTATATGAATGACCCATGGACATGAACAATGGTGGGGGGACTGCCTGAGGGATAGGGGGCACTGGGTAGAGGAGGGCAAGGGGGAAAATCAGGACAACTTTAATAGCACAATAAAAAAAACATAATTTAAAAAAGAAAAAATAATACATAATGTGTTTGTTATCACTTTACACCCTTCAGATTGGTAAAAAAATAAAATGAAAGATAACACCTACTATTGGTGGAAACAAAGAGGAAAGAGATGTTCATACGTTACTAGCTAAAGTGTGAACATTTTGCAATCTGGCAATGACTCTACAATTTTAATACATATGCCCTTCAACCCAGGAGTCCCACTACTAGGAATTTAGCCTGGAGATAAAGGCACCACACAAGAGCTGATTTAAGAGCCTCTGTTCTGGAGCCAGACTTCCCGGGGCTGAACGTAGACTATGCCTCTGCCGTGAAAGGCAACTGTGGGTGAGTAAGTCCCTCACTGGGTCGTGGTGAGCCTGGCACACACAAACACTCAGTAAAATGTCAGCTATTAAATGCCAGACTTAGATACATACCCATGGAAACCCACAAATGAGCAGCGAAATGAAAAAGTTCTTGCCTAAAAATATTCTGTAATAAACACGTACTACTTTTATAATTAGAGAAGCATGCAGAATGATATTTAACACAAAAATAAGCTTTGCTGTTAAAGGAATGATGAAGAAAAGGCAAAGGGCCCAGACATTTGCCTGTTCACGGCCTTTGGGGTGAAAGCCTGAAAGGGGTTGGGGGTGATAATGGAGGCACAGTGTTTCCGATGGGAGAAGGGAAGGCACCCGGCGTGTAGCTGAGGAACCTTGGACAGGACATGTGCCCCTGTGCTTGGGGAGGAAAGAGGTTGTGGGTAGGTACAAATGCAGTAATCTGAAGGTGTGGAGACAACGTAGAGGCAGTTCGTGACTGAAAGCCCTGATGTCTAGTACTGAAGCCAGCATGGCTGTCTTCTGAGCAGGGTGATTTTGAACAGCCACCAGAGTGAACGAAGGGGGAAAATG